CAGGCAGTAATTTAAGCACTTTAAAAATATTAACTCATTTAATCCTCATAACAACCCTATGAAGTTTTTTAACTTCAATTCACAGATGAAAAAATTGAGAATGCCAACAAGATGTTCTCTAGTAAAAGTTTTGAAATTTAAGATGCTCTTAAATGTAAGCAAAAAAAGACTTCTTGCATTTTCTACTTAAGGCGTAACTAACAATTCTACAACTCTATTAGAGAAAAGCATCACCTAAGAAGGCAGCCCAAATGCTATTTTAATATACATAAGTCAAGACAAAGTATCAAACTTTGCCAAGTACTCAAAAAAAAAAAAAAAAAAAAACACACACAAAAAACAAACCACATGCATTTTTAGAGTCCTTTACCTGTACCAAGAAGTTTCCAACTTGGTTGGTTATAAATCTATTAGTAAAGTTAGAGATGAAAAAAATTTTTTTTGGCAATAAACACTCCTAAACCCACAGAGAAGAAGCTTTCATAATGACCTTTAGCTTTAAAAGGTCAAAGTACAAAAGCTGTTATATATTTACTTTGAAGTATAACCAAAAACCTCTAATTACTTATTTCCACTGCTGATGAGCTCAACCAACAAATAAGTTATATTTGTCCATCAAAAATGCAAAAAGAAAGCAAATTATGTCACTCTATTCACTTTTCTTTGGAGGGTACAGGATTTTACGCAAAATAAGTACTGCAGTGCTCTGTAGCTGCCAAAATATTATATCTTGACTTTACTTCTCTACTCTGAAAGTAACAAATACAAATATTTGATTAATATTTTTCAACCCCCCACCAAATCCACAAGCAGAAACTGATTATCATCACCAAATGCACAAAATCTGTCCAAATGTAAGAATCTTTTATCCTGAAAAACACTAAAATACAAAATTACATATCTGACTAATATACACAATGATTTAACTGGTAGCAGCACAGCAGAAACAAATTATGAAATAAAGTATTTAAAACTACAATAAGGCCTTACACTTTGAAAACAAAGTTAGTTGTTGGGATCCTTTCCCCTGAGATCAGGAAAAAGACACAACCACTCCCATCACTTCTATTCAACCCTATGGAGGTTCTAGCAAAAGCATTTAGGCAAAAAAATGAGATAAAACGCACCTAGATTGGACAGGATGAAGCAAAACTATCTCGATTTACAGACAAAATGATCTTATATAGAAAAAATCCTAAGGAATCCACTAAAAAACTATCAGAACTACTAAATGAGTTCAGCAAGGTTGCAGGATACAAGATCAATATACAAAAGTCAACTGTATTTCCTCACTCTTGAAATGAACAATCCAAAACTGAAATTAAGAAAATTATTTCATTTACAGTATCAAAAAGAAAAAAATATAGAAATAAACTTAATAAAAAGTGTAAAACCCGTACTCTGAAAACTATAAACATTGTTTAAAAGAAACTGAAGACCTAAACAAATGGAAAGATAGCCCATGTTCATGGATCAGAAGACCTTCTATTGTTAAGATGGCAATACTTCCCAAAATGATCTACAGATTCAACACGATCACTATCAAAATCCCAGCTCACTTCTTGGCCGATTCTAAAATTCATGTGGAAATTCAAGGGTCCCAGAATACAAAACAATCTTGAAAAATAACAAAGCTGAATGACTAATACTTCCTGATTTCAAAACTTACCACAAACACTGGGGGGGGGGAGGGGGGGAGACACCTTACCACAAAACTACAGTAATAAAAGACAATGTGTTACTGGCATTAAGATATATAGGGGAAATAGAACAGAGAATCAAAAAAAAAAAAAACCCACACACTTACAGTCAATTAATTTTTGACAAGAGAAACAAGATAATATAATGGGAAAAGACCAGTCTACAAATGGTGCAGGAACAACAGAAAACACACATGCAAAAGAATAAACTTGAACCCCTACTTCACACCCTATACAAAAATTAACTCAAAATGTTTCAAAGTTAAATGTAAGAGGTAAAACTCTTAGACAGGCATAAGTCTTCATGATCTTGGATTAGGCAATGGTTTCTTAGATATAACACCAAAAGCTCTGAGTAAGTGATGACTGAAGCTTGAATGATGAGAAAAAGGTAGATATGCAAGGAAGGATCTGAACAAGGAGAGAAAACAGCAAGAACAAAAGCTGGGACAGAACCAGCATAATATACTCAAAAGATAGATAAGAGAGGTAGGTAGGGGCCTTAGAGGACAACTACTAGTATATATATGGCAAAAGCTACATTTTAATAGGGTGACAGCACTACTCCAGGGGGAGCATTCACATAGTAAACTATAATATGAAAGGGTATCATCCCTAGAATGGGCCATGAAGCAGCTCAGATGTATTTAGACTTGACAGCTCTTCAAACAGAGCTATCCTCTAGGTCTCATGTGTGTTTAATTCAGCCTTACGCATATTTTCAATAAATTATACCAGCCAATGAATTATATATGCTGACTTCTTTAAAATGGCAGCTCAGGTTTGTTTGTTTGTTTTTAAAGATTTTATTTATTTGACAGAGAGAGACACAGCGAGAGAGGGAACACAAGCAGGGGGAGTGGGAGAGGGAGAAGCAGGTTTCCCGCCGAGCAGGGAGCCCGATGTGGGACTCGATCCCAGGACCCTGGGATCATGACCTGAGCCGAAGGTAGACACTTAACGACTGAGCCACCCAGGCGCCCCGGCAGCTCAGGTTTTATTCACATTTTGAGCAGGGATGCCTGGGTGGCTCAGTCAGTTAAGCATCTGCCTTTGGCTCAGGTCATGATCCCAGGGTCCTGGGATCGAGCCCCATATCGGGCTCCCTGCTCATCCGGGAGCCTGCTTCTCCCACTGCCTGCCACTCTTCCTGCTTGTGCTCTCTCTCTCTGACAAATAAATAAATAAAATCTTATAAATAAATAAATAAATTCTCATAGCAATCCAAACTGTTTACATGGCTTCTTTTTTAATCTTTTTATTTTTAATTTTGTTTCAATTCCTTTAATAGACATTATGCTCACATGGTTCAAAATTCAAGAGTAAAAAGTCTCCCGCCCATCCTGCCTCTCTAAACTTATTTCCTGTCTTTGGAGGCAACAAATGTTATCAGTTAGTTCCTTTTGTATCCTTCCAGACTTCAAGCAAATATGTATATATTCTTTTCGCTCTTTCTCTACATAAAGTGAAACACACTTTACATACTGTTCCAAACTTGTTTTTCACTGAATTATCTTGACATTTGCTTTATAACAAGGTATAAAGTTTTCTCTTTTTTAATACCTGCAGAGTATTCCACTTTGTGGATACAGTATTTTATTCCTTTATTAATAACTTCAATTAGAAAATATTTGAGAGGGGTGCCTGGGCAGCTCAATCGTTAAGCATCTGCCTTCGGCTCAGGTCATGATCCCAGGATCCTGGGATTGAGCCCCGCATCGAGAAGCCTGCTTCTCCCTCTCCCACTCCCCCTGCTTGTGTTCCCTCTCTCGCTGTGTCTCTCTCTGTCAAATAAATAAATAAAATCTTAAAAAAAAAAAAAAAAAGAAAATATTTGAGAAAAAACTGTAGCTCCCAAGGCAAAAGTTGTTAACATCTATGTAAGGGCTTCAGAAAATATGCAAATCCTCTTAAATGCTGGGGATATGCCCATTTCTGTGGGCAGAAAATTTGTATACCACTTACCACATTATCAAAGATAACTGACCCAAAGAACTACTATACTACAATATAACTTGTGCACAGATGTTCAATAAACCTATGCTGAACAGGGAGGCCTGGGTGACTCAGTTGGTTAAGCGTCTACCTTCAGCTCAGGTCATGATCCTGGGGTCCTGGGATCGAGTCCCACATCGGGCTCCCTGCTCAGCAGTGAGCCTGCTTCTCCCTCTGCCTCTGCTGCTCCCCCTGCTTGTGCTCTCTCTCTCTCTCTCTCTGTCAAATAAATAAATAAAGTCTTTAAAAAAAAAACCTATGCTGAACAGAATTTTAGTCTGGGGTTTTGCTAAATTTTGTATTAGAGACAGAAGGACCAAATAAATACCAATATAATCAAAAATTCTTATCTATGTTATAGAACCTTTTCCCTTTAACAAACAGCAAAATTGACCCATCTGACTCCTACTTCTTTTCCAAGAAGGGCTTTATTTTTCATCTGCATTGTAAACAAGAGTACTAAGATAGAAAAGAACCAAAATTTAAAGTCTCTGATCAAAAGCTGACTATACAAGACATTTTTCACAACTGACATCAGAGGCATCTCTGATGCCCCTTAAACTATCTAACATTCCACAGAGTCCTTCCTAAGAAAATTAGATCACTGGTAGTCACATAGTAGTATAATACCTCCACATGCCAGGTTCCACAATAGAAGCTTTACCTATATTATCCCGTTTAATCCTCAAGACAATCACTTAAGGCAGCTATATTTCGCCCCTTTTAACAGTTAAGAAAAACACAGGCTTAAAAAAGTTAAAGTTAAGCTATTTACTTAAACCAAATAAAACCCACCACCACATAACTACTAAATGTCAGAGCAAGACTAAATCATCACCTCACTCTTACCTTCAATACTCCAAACCTCATCAACTTTCCACAATACCATAGTGCCTTAAGTCCAAAATGTAATTATCATTTTAGGGCAGTATAAGGTAGTGGTCAGAATTCTAGTTCAACCATTCATTAGTTGTATGACAAACTGTTTAAACTCTAAAAGCCTCCTTTACCATCTGTAAAACTAGATTGCTGTGAGGTTTAAATGAGAAAAGGTGTATAAAACCAACAGCTCACATATTGGTATTTGGTACAAGGTGGCTATTATTTTATCCTTCTTTGAGAAGAAACACAAAGGGCTGCAAGGTTTCCCAATTTGGCATAAAAATTCCCCTGCAGAATGCTGGCATTGTGACAAATAAGCTAAAAAAAAAAAATAGCTAAAAAAATTGTGTCTGATTATGAAGCAGATTCTGGCTTAATGGAACATCATAAATTGTCCTTTAAATAAATATTTCAAACACATACCTGTATCTATTGCCACACAAGCATGAAGGTCTGTTTTGATGGCTGCATAATCACTTCACTCTCAATTTACATGCTTTATGCAGAATCATACAGAGGTGGTTTTTTTAAAGATTATTAACATCAGGTGATAAGCGATGACAGCTGTCAAATATATTACATCTGTTTTTACCTCCTTTTTTTTTTTCCCCTGGTAAACCCTGTTATCCCTTTAACTTCTATGAACTTTAAACAAAATAAAGCATCCTCCCTATACCCTCGGTCCCAAAACGGTTATGTGATGAGCTTTTCATGGCGCTATTAATGACGAAAGTTGAAGGCCTAAGACAACTTACTCATAAGAAAGGAAAGTTTGATACATTTTTCTCCGCCTTGAACCAAAGCTTGAAATCAATGCTTTAGACAGGACGCAAACAGAGGTTTGGGGCAACGCCAAACAGGAAAACAACTTTATCTCTAAGCCCCCAAATCACCTTCTTTACTCCCTTCCTTCCTCCCTTCCCCCCAGAGCGAAAAAAAGTGAAACTGCGGCGCAGCACCAAAAGCCCTGCGCGCAGCCTGCCGCGGAGAGCTGAAACCCCGTGGTCCAAGGAAACCCGTGCGACCAGCGCCCGATTTGTGGCCCCTTCTGTGCCTTCGCTCCCCTTCGGAGCCCCGCACCGCCATCCTCCCCCACCCTCCATACCAAAAGTGCCCGGTCCACACCCAGGCTGCAAACTCTCCCAAGCCCCCGAGCCGCACAGTCTCCCCCAGGGGCTCACCATCGCAGCCCACGGACTAAGGCGCGGGCGGGCAGGCCTGTCGGCTGGGGAATCCGTTACCGGGGCTCGGGATCCATTCGCGCCAACAACTTCTCCCGCGAAGTGGAAGGAGGTGGGAGCCGCGGCGCCCGGTGATGACGTCAGAAGGCGCGCAGCTTCACTTCGGCCCGGGCCGGAGGCGGGAGGTGCGACGTCGGCCCAGGTGACGCCCCGCGGGCCCTCGGGCCGCTGCCATCGCGAGGAGCCACGGGAGCGTGGCCCGCGCGCACGTTTGCGCCCTGAGATGGTGGTGGGGGCGCTCAAGGGGAGGTTCCGAGGTTAATCTCCCGAGGCGGGCAAACCAGGTTCTTCGCGGTAACACGCGTGGAGGGGCGCCCTGCCCTGCACTGGCTTTCACGTGTTCTGACCACCACCCGCGGGGGAAATACACATTCTAGATGTAGGTTTCACATCTTACATTTATCTTTTTTTCGCATATTACATTTAAATATCTATTTTTAAGATTTTATTTATTTATTCATAAGAGACAGACAGACAGAGAGAGAGAGGCAGAGGGAGAAGCAGACTCCCCGCTGAGCAAGGAGACCGATGTGGGACTCGATCCCGGGACTCCAGGATCATGACCCGAGCTGAAGGCAGACGCCCAACCATCTGAGCCACCCAGGCGCCCTAAATATCTATTGTTTAACAAGAGTTTCACCAAAGAGCCCTTACCCTGTTTTGTTTTGGTTTTTTTTTTTTTTTTTTTTTAAAGATTTTATTTATTTATTTGACAGAGAGAGACATAGCGAGGGAGGGAACACAAGCAGGGGGAGAAGGAGGGGAGAAGCAGGCTTCCCCGCGGAGCAGGGAGCCCGATGTGGGGCTCGATCCCAGGACCCTGGGATCACAACCTGAGCCGAAGGCAGACGCTTAACGACTGAGCCACCCAGGCGCCCCTTGTTTTGGTTTTTAATGTTTGACCCGCCGAATTGGATTTTTTGCCTCCTAAGTGAAGACCCAGAGTTTGAAAACCAGGCTACTAAAGGACAATTTTATGTTGTATAATTCCAGAGCAGAAAAGATTCTGGTAAAATTATCTAGTCATCAACACCCACTCTATTTTATAAGTGAAAAATGCAAGGCCCAAACAAGCTGAGGGGTCCAGGCTAGGAATCTAGGCCTCTAAATTCCCCAACCTGCACTAAGTTCCTCAGAGCCGTGGTGTGTGTGAGGCCAAGTCATAAACAAGGTGTATCACTAGAGAAAAACAATGACCCCGTAGATAAGCTACTGAATTGTGGAATAGAATGCAACATTTGCATACAACTTTAAGAGAAAACATGAGACCCTAAGGAGTTTAGTGGGGAGAGCAGTATCTCCAGCTTTGGTCCTAGACTTTCAGAAGCTTACCCACCCACTGTCCCCTTTTTAGGTTCTGCATTTTATCACACCAATATCTCTACAATGAAAAAGAGCAAAGCCTTCTGGAATACAACAAAGGCAAAGCATGGAGAGCTTGTATTTATTAAATGCCCAATGTAATATGTGCCAGGCATGCAAATATGGACTATCCTAGTTCAGCTCATCTAATACCCATAGTGACACTGGCTACTATTATTATCCCTAATTTACAAAGGAATAAACTATTATTCACGAACAGGGCCTCATTGCATTGGACCTCCTGCAACCGGTATGGTAGGGTTCCCAGCTCCACCACATGCTAATTGAGTGACCATGGGCAAGTTACTAAGCCTCAGTTTCCTCATCATTAAAATAAGGATAATAGTAGTACTTCATAGGGTTGTTATAGAACGTTATTCCTGGCACATAAGATAATAATTTAGGTCCACTATTATTATTATTATTCAAGGCTGGGTATTATCAAGGGAGATAGTTCTAAAAATGAACTTATGCACTCCATATTTTCGCTTAGGGAAATACTTGATAGGGGCGGAGGGGAGTCATTAAAACCTTTGAAAAATCAATAAAAACTATGAACCTACTCTCCAGAATAATGTACACAGCAGACACATCATATAAATTTTTGCTTATAATCTCAGAGGATCTAAACCAATTTACAACATTCATGGTGTTGTAAATAAGTAAATAAGATGTATATTCAAAGTTCTCCATATCTTTTATATTATGTTACTTTTAACTTCTGTATTTTTCTTTTAGCGTTTGGAGTGTTCCTTGAATTTAGGTGAGACTTAAGTCAGAAGCCTGTAACTTCCAGAAAGACACTGAACTGAATTTGTTGGACTGTTTTTTTGAGGAACATTTACTTGGAAATATTCTATCTCAGAAATGTATCAGATTAAAAATGGCTGCGTATGCTTTGATACTCCTCCCCTCATCTGAGCTAGCCTGTGTCTGATTTGACAGTTCCAGACATAAACTTTAAGCGGACTGGTAACTCCTAGCTTGCTCTATTGGACCCCTGAGGTGCCATGTAAAGCAAGAGAAGGGGCCAGCTGAACCCAGGCTTACAGTCATCTCCACCAGATACCAGGCTTGTCAGTGAAGCCATCTTGAACCCACCATACCAGCTGCTGGCGAAATTCTACTAGTCTACTCAATGACCCCAATCAACACTTTAGCACAGAAAAATCACCTAGTCAAGGCCTGCCTAAATTCTCTGACAGTAGTGTGAGCATAATAAAATGATTGTTATTTTAAGGTAGTAAGTTTTGGGGTAGTTTGTTGTGAAGTGATAAATAACCAGAACAGAACCCAGAGTGTAAAGAACCCAGAGTGTAACCAAAAATAAGCATGAACAGAATAGTCATGCTTATTTTCTCCACTGTGGTGGTTTTTACTGATGCATCATTCAACAAATATTTATTGACATTTACTGTGTCAGCACTTTTTTATGTGCTTGCTGGGAACCCATAGTAAATAAGACAGACAGTCCCAGATTTCCTGAAGTTTATATCTTTGAGGAAAAGAGAAAAATAAGTAAGGAGACAAAAATAAAGTCTGTACTTTCAGATAACGGTAAGTGCTACACGGAAAATAAAGCAGATAGAGGCTAGCTGAGGAGGAAGGTGTGGAAGTATTGCAAATAAGTGACCTAAGAAGGAGACATTGAGCTGGGACATGGATTTGAGAAGGGGCCGGCAAGTATAAAGGCCCTGATGTGATTACGAGTTAAACATATCCAGGGAATAGCCAGAAAGCCAGTTTTATGACTGGTACTGGAAGGGATAGGAGATCGATTTGGGTGGAGGTGAGGGGAGAGATCCTCCAGAGCCTTAGACCCTAGCAAGAAGTTTAACTTTTATTCTAAGTGTAATGGGAAGGCTTTGTAAGATTTTAAACCCCTGAGATTGCTATGATCCCATCATTCTTTTTTTTATTATTATTATGTTCAGTTGGCCAACATATAATATCACCCTTACACTTGGTATTTTTTGACCAAAAAGAAAAAAAAAGACTACTATGTGTTTTATGGCAAAATATGATACCCATTTGTTTTCCATGGCAGAGAAATCTGGAGTGCTAAAAACATTACCAAATATGATTTGTTTTACTTGTCTATAGGGGAACACTGTCTCTTATTAAATTAGTTTCTCGGGCGCCTGGGTGGCTCAGATGGTTAAGCGTCTGCCTTTGGCTCAGGTCATGATCTCAGGGTCCTGGGATCAAGTCCCGCATCGGGCTCCCTGCTCCTTGGGAGCCTGCTTCTCCCTCTGCCTCTCTCCCTCTCTCTCTGTCTGTCATGAATAAATAAATAAAATCTTTTAAAAAAAAATTAGTTTCTCCATAATAACGGCATCTGGATTTTAACCCTTACTGGGCACTACTCGATTATAGTATCTAGTTTGAATTTGTTCCAGGCAAAAGACCAGTCTATGTGCACCTTCCATCTCTGTGGCGTCTCTTTGACAAGGAGAATAAAATGATAATAACTACTTCCGTGTCTCAATATTAATTGAAAGACTGCAATAATGCCTTTCCAGGAAATTGAGGATACACAAAAAACATAACACACTAGGGCTGCTGAGTTTTAGGTAGTTTTTGCGACAGACATAGAAAAGTCATTTATTGGTGATGTAAAACATTAGCTAACCAAGATTCTTGGCATGTTTTCTTAAAAGTATTTTCATCAAGTTTTTCCTCATGCTCTCCTTAGTTATTAGTTCAGTTCTTCTTTGTGTAAATATTTCTCTAACCAGCTGATGAATAAATAAGACTATTAATTCATTGTAGAGTGACATTGGTAACATAATACAGCAACTGGATAAGCACTGCAGTTTCCAGAATTAAGGGCATCTATTAAAAGCCCAAAATATTTTTAAGTACTTTTTAAAAAAAATTTTATTGATTTATTTGAGGTAAAGAGAGAACACAGCAGAGGCAGAGGGGCAGAGGGAGAAGGAGAAGCAGACTCCATGGTGAGAAGGGAGCCTGATGCAGGGCCTGATCCCAGGACCCCAAGATCATGACCTGATGGCAAATGCCCAACCAACTAAGCCACTCAGGCACCCCTTAAATATTTTTAATAATGATTTGAGACCTAACACAAAGAAGACACATTTTTAAGGGATGTATTATACATTGGATCTGATTATCTGATGCTCACTGGCCTTTTTCATTCTTAAAAGAAAGGGCTTCAGGGAAAACTTTGTCAACAAAGCCAATTTTGTGACAGTCAAGGATCTCTTTCCCTCCCCCACATAGGGGTATATCACTGGTGAAAGTATTATTTCCATTCAACGAAGAACGCTTTACCACAGAAGTTAGAATATTGACATTAACATCTTTGTTGGTATGTTTCTAAACTTGTGAGTAGTTAGATTATGTATATAATAATTGGCTCTTTTTCTGTAACATATAAATCATTGTCCTCCTGAAATGACTAAAACTCTGTATTAGAAAGTACCTGATTGAATTTTGGTCATCCTTTATAATCTAACCACTGCCACATGTAAGTGGAAAACAACTGTTCAATGTAAATTCTCAGTGTTAATGCCACTGCCTTAGTTAACTTATCTGTATGATAGAAATAACTCTTCACTTGGAGTCTCTTTAAAATCCTTTTCAGGAGCACAATAATTACATTGTCTTTCACATAGATTTTTATAAGTCAACAGAAATCAATCGAATTTTCACTGTGCAACAACAAATGTGACTTTCTGCCCTCTGGATAAATATTAGCATGTC